CGTACAACCATCGATGATAAATATCGATTAATAACGTTTCTAATAAATATACATCGGTGTGACGATGGACATCGATTTCGGGAATTTATGAGACAGGTGTAGACACGTTGAAAAAAGACACGAATTACTGCAACAGCGTATGACATGGTACAAGAGACACAGAGTATAATCGATTCGTAATAATCCAATTTCGTTATTTCGTAACTACCTTTTAATTTCGATTTCTTTTATGTCTGACCATTTGATGCATGTTCGGCAGCGGCAGGGGGGAAACACCTTCGAACGATTGATCCGAATTACAGCAGATATTATCCGATCACGGTATTCCATCTCTTGAGCCATGCAATCCACACGGTTTCACTCTGTAACAGTTTCCGTACTGTTTCATTAAAGGACCGACAATTTTAGCCTCGTACTCTATACGACAAGGAGAACGATTTGCATGCGGGAGAGAAAGGAAAGTTCAATTTTTATAATTCGTACCTCCTCGTTTCCGTGCCGGGCAAAACATCCATTTTTGAGGTAACAACATTATTTATTAATAGCGTTGCTCGATGGGAAATAACGTGCAAAGTGGCGGTCACGGTTAGCGCAGGTCGTGGAGAAAGCGTTGATGCAAGTGCGAATATTCGTTCGATCAAATACACGCGTGTGAAATTTATTAAATTTTTGAAATTTGCTTATCCATTCACGGGAAAAGATCATTGTAGAGTGAAATTCATACGTTACGATGATATAGGTCACTTTATGGTCTTAGTATTTCGTACAAGTTGTGATAATTGGTGCAATTACCAAGGAGAAGTTTAATCGATCGGCTCGTGGGATTTTACATTCAAGGGAAAAGGGAAAGGAAAAATTTGCATCTAAGAATTTGCAAAAGAATCTGAGACTTTAAGACAGTTCAATGAGGATTAATTATAAGTCAAGAATTACACGTTGTCTCCAACAATTCTCAAACGTAAAGTCAGTTGGAAAAGTGTTCGATAAATCGGACAGAAAATTCTCTTCTCTACTCTCAAGAGGAGTTCATTTTCGCAAACTCTCAAGTCAGATTTATACTCGAAAAACAACGACAAGTAAGGTATTTGTTTCAAATTGTACCAATATAATGCTAATGAAATATAAATTATTTTAATGAAACGTTCCGTTTAGTACGCGTAATACGTTCATAAAATGTTTCTATAAGTGTTGGAATACTTTTGAAAGAAACTGTACGCGCCTACCTAATTATAATCGAAACAGGAAGAAATTCGTGCCGAAGGTTTTTTCAGAGAATCAATAACCGGGTCAGTAGCGGATCGTTAAGGGTCGTTTCGCCTTGCATTGATAATTTTCAATCGAATATATAATTTTCCGTCGCGACAAACATGTTCGATATATCGACATGCGCGCGTGACAGCTGCCTTATGCAGCACAAAAATGCCGCCAAAAAAAAAAGAATGGCAAAACAATCAATTTTCAAGAATATTCGAAATTTCACGCGCGACCGACTTACGCGAGAGAGCATTTTTTCCCCATTTGTTCTTTTTTTCTTTTCTTTTAATATCCCGACGTTCCGATCTGCGGCGAACAACTAATTTCGCGCCCTGTACTCCGTAATCATGGCAATTACTCGGGAGAAAAAGGTTTTGTTGCGACACTGTCGATACTTTCCGATCGATTGCACTGCCTTCGATCGAAGGTCCGGTATCCGAAGAAGAAGAAAGAAGAACAAGACGAAAGAAGAGGACCGCCTCGGGTAGCTACGGATCGGCGATACGAGCGTAATGAATTAATTTCGCCGATGGAAACGCCGTCGATTAAGCCGATCGACGAAAAGGAGTCTGTATAATTGATACATTTCGCGTGTCTGTCCTGTTTATCCTCTTTAAGTGTGTACAGGTTCTTTCATTACTGGTTGGACCCACTCGAACGAGGAAAAAATTTTATGAGAAATATTTAAGGCGATTGGGCCAGAAATTTGCCGACTTGTGGCTTTGAAATTGATAGGATAAAAGAAAAAATAAAAATGAAAAACGTGGTGAAATAACGCGGTGGATTGAGAAATCGGTTAGCTTGCGGTGTATAAAAGGGAACATTCGGAGAAATAATATCACGCATATGCATCTACTTGTCGCCTGAAAATTGGATTAGAGCAGAAATTTGCGGACTCGTGGTTTCGAAATCGATTTGGGTAAAAAGAAAGCTTGGCAAGAAACGCAGCGAAGGAGAAATTGGCTGATCAGCGGTGTATAATAATATCGTACGTATAAATCATTGCCATTATAGACAAGCGATTGAAAAATTGTTCGCGTTGATGGCATTTTATCGTTGATGAAACATACTGTATGCTTGGTATTTACAGTATAACGGAAATGTGGTGTGTCCAGTTTTGCTTGATGCCAGTGACATAATTGCCTTTAAGACCGTTTATCTTTCATTTTCGACTCTCACCGGTTTCTGCCGTATTAAATTCGAAATGCATTTCTCCTCGATGTAGCATGCATGTGATATAAAGTAAATTAAATCGATATAATTCAGGTGCCTTTCTTTATTTTAGGATTGTTATAATTGAAGTGATACGATGAAAACGTATAACCATATAAAGTAATGTTTCTATCTTAATAAGAGTCGATACGAATTTTGCCACAAACACCTGCGCGTTTTTAGTAAATTGCGAAAATAAGAAGTCTATAACCTATGGTTTCGACAGTGTAAAGTTAGGGCTGGTCCTAACGCAGAGTGATACGAAGGGTTGCCTACTCTTCAGGGTTCAATCTAGGGATCTACCTAACCATTTTTTTAATTTTCCAACGTGTGTCGTTTATTTTCTTCGTAATTTCGAAGTATCCAAATTTCCATTGCTGAGTTCCATCTGACATTACGTTTATAAGATAACAGAAGATGGCAATTTTTATATTTACTTACTTCCATTTACGCGATTAATTAGTGCGTCTTTAAAATCACTATCGTCCATGTGTTTCTTTGATTGTATTATATCCAACGAGCACTTGAAAATAAAAAGTAAGCAACTAAAAAGTTCTTTTTATTTTCTTCCAGATACGATATTACTATGTGTTAATTGAGATTCACCGATAAGTTGCGCTATTCTGCTCTTTAACGTAACATTTGCGCTGTCTATCCCTCGTTCGGTCACTCGCGGTCTGCTGACCGTTAAATAAACATAAAATTGGATTAACCCTATCGGCGAATTATGCACCCCTGCTATTATTGTATTGCCGTCTGATGCACGAGCATCAAGCATGCCGCGATCTTTTGTTAGTTTTCGGGGGTCGGTTACCCCCAACTCGTCACGGAAAATGATGTGAATTCATGCACCCCATGCACCTTGGTGGGCATGTGCTTGTCACATATGGTCAACACGTGTGCGTATTTTCAACAAACGAGTTTTCGTTTAACAGCTCGTATAAAATCTATTTTGTATATTCTATGTCTCAGCAGATTCGATATTTTTTTTTTTTTTAATTAAGTTGCATAAAAATAATCTGACGTTAGTCCGTATTTTTTTTTATTATTTAATTTGTACTTTACAATTTGTCCAGCTGGACATTTGGTAAAGTTGGTCCATACGTGAACAATTTTTGTCGTGCCTTTTAAAATAATTTGTTCGCAGTGTAAGATAATAATTCGTTTGAAATAACGTTAGCTGGTGTGCAGTGTTATAAAAATATAGTCTTCGATTTTAACGTATTACGTATCCTTTCCAAAATCGTTTAAAAAATAAGTTTTCTCTTAGTCTAAGAGGAACCATTCAGTTCTGGAGATGTTGCGTACGTAATTTTGTTAAATAAGCGTTAATAATATCAGTAAAATAGAAAGCAGAAATATTTGATATTTGATGGATTTGATATTTAGAGAAATTTTTATTCAGCAAGACGAGAGTCGTGAAAATATCGAATTTCTTGATTACGTAAGAAACCTGTTCTACTTCATTCAGCGGATCCACAGGTGCGTACATTGATTAATTGTGTGAAAAAGGATAATTGAACGGGAGCGTACAAGATAAAAGGATTCTTTAATTAGCTTAAAAAAGAAATCTGATCGTACGAATCTCTTAGAACCCTCGATTTCGTTGCTCTAACTAAATACGTGTAATCTCTGATGACAAGTTTTTCTGATTGCGGTGGAGGTTTCTAGGAAATCGTCTATTTATTTCGTGAGAAACTAAACCCTAAAGCTTCCATCAACTTCGGCAAGGAAAAGTTTTGTCCAAAAACTCTACAGAATCCTATACCATTTCCTGTCGAATTTTTTCCTCCCAATGATGAATCCGAAATTCTTAAAGGATTGTCGAATCTTTCCTCGGCAGGACGAAGGGCTGAAAAGACCCCCGAGGCTTTCTTAAACCAGTTTCAGGTATGAATGGACCCTTTCCAGTCTCCAAACCTTTGTTCGAAAATACAGCCGGTTATGAAGGGCTGACCAATTTCAAAGATCACAGGTGAATCGTTGAAACGAATGAATTTCGTCTAAAAGGGGAAACGTTTCTCGAAGTATCTTTTTACGGGATTGGTCGAAGGAGTCTTTCGTATTTTTAATAGCATCGCGCCATTTAAATTTAATTTAATCAGAAAAGAGTCGAGAAACTTGATTCGGTCAGAAAAATTTGAATATTCTCTAGATATATCAAATTCTAAGGTCAAGACTTATCGCTAAGAACTTAATAATTAAAGGAAGGGAATGAATAACGAATCGGATGATTTCATCTTAGAAGTAAATTTATTTATACTCTTAATAAACTGGAAGACGGTAGGAAGTTTCGTCTGAACGACTATTAAAGCCAATATCACAACGTATACAATAACTAATCTAATAGGTACGAATATCACAATTGCGATAAACTTTCTATCGCATTATTCAATGAATAAAAAAGAAGTACAAAAAGGAAAAAAAAATAGAATATTTTACTCTCCGACTGATCATCGAGCCAAAAAGTGTCATGAAACTTCACAATTTCATTCTTAGAGATCAGTTAAAAAACTAAATCTATTTATCACAGTTTCGATGTTATCTTATCTAAAGGCAGTCTGGCAGCGCGAGAGGCAGCCCCTCAAGGTCAAATATTCTCCCCAGCTCCATCTTGTAGACGTCATCTTCGTCCGTTTTGATCCCCAGCAAGTTTTCATTATTTCTCGTCGAATCTTCGTGTCACTAGGACGTTACGACGGAGCATCCTCGCAGGTGGTTTTCCAAGGTCTCCATGAATCCTCAACATCGACTTCGAAGATCGATTTCCGAGGGTGATGTGCATTCTAGCACGAGGTAGTTGAACTTGATCGTACGCCGATGATGTGACTTTTCACGCGACCTGCATCTCAGGTGTTTGATGTTGAGAGAAGGCGCGTTCCTTGTAGCACAGGTCACTGTCGGCCATGCTCAGGGTCGTCCAATAAAAGTCGCCAGCGTGGGTGTGCGCGAAATGAACGGGCACGTAGCACTGACCAGGTACAACCGGTACGACTGTCATCTGCCCGTCCAAGCAGACAGTGATGGCAGCTCCTTCCTCAGCGTCTTGAAGTTCCGCCAACAGTCGCCTCTCCAGTGCTTCGTTGGCATTATTCTGATTGTCCACCTCCTCGGTGAAGATCTCCACTTGTGGCACGGCCTTCTGGTCTTTGGCGTATTTCCCTCTGTTCGTCTTCTTCTTCAACAATCTCAAAATGGGCTTCAACACGCTTCTGACCCGTTTGCCGTTGGTGGCCGTGCTCTTGCCCGACATCTTCAGGTTGTAGAGATTATCGTTGAGCTCGTTCTCGTAGTCGAACACGTGGTTCATTGTGGCGGCAGCCATCTTGCTTCTCGTCCTTTGCTGATTCTCAACACTGAACCGGTTTTAAAGAGGAGCGCGTCCGTACGTCCGTGCGTGCACTCTCGAGACTCGGAATGAACCGTGCGGATCGGCGCGCAAACTGTACTTCGACTCGAACTTGGAATTCTCGAAAAAGCGTGTTCTTTACGAAGCTACTTCGAGAGAAAATCGAAGACAGATATACGTATGCTGTTGGCTGTATACGTGCTTTTCTCAGTTGCTTTGGAACGAAACGCTAGTGAGCGAATGATGCCTTAGACGAGCAACCCCGGACCTTATATAGGCCCCGTCGAGCAGCACGGGGTGACAGAGTGGGGAGGGCAGGTGCACTCTGGCTGTGGGAACTTGGAGAATTCGGAGCTTCCCACGTCAGGGTCCACGCCGACCATCTGCCGTTTCTTCTCCCTCCTCTGACACCCTCCGACACTAATCCAACCTACCACCCCGACCTGTGCATAGCCTCTTCACCTACCCCCGCGATCACCCCCGCTAGACCTTCGTCCTAGGTGGATCCTTCCTTTCCTTTTCGCTCTGCTCCTCCGGTTTCCATGCCGAGAAGAGCAGAAGCCGCCGGGGTCCTTTTCGGCCCTTTTACTCATACACGATCAAAAGGGTGGATATTTCGCCCGTTTTCGGGGGAGCACCAGTTCGAACCTGTTTGCGACAGGTCTCTTCAACGTTCGAAACCATAGTATGTATCGAGAGATGAGAAGCTGTCTAGCGGGATGACACAAGGGTAAGATACACGCTGTTTTTCGTAGCTCGCGGTTTCTCGCCTTGCTATATCGACTTATTATTATCGTATATGAATTGTTCACAGGCCAAAGTTAACTCCGCTTTTCGAAATTTGATCAAAATTTTCCTCAGTTTTCTCTACTTTTTATTCCGCGAAATTAACCTCTTCGTCAAACGAGCAGCTCGTATCAGTCGCGTAGAGAATACGTCGACTAATTTCGCAAATTGGAATACACACAGCTCAGTTACAAACGCTACGTTCTTCATAATCATAAAAACTAATTTTCTCACTTGTTACGCGAGCTCTATGCGAATTCAACCGCGCGGTTCTCTCTGGAGTTTCTAGCAGAAAGGGACCTAACTGATGGAAACGATTTCGATGATTGTTTACCCGTGGACCGAGGCTTAAGTGGAACCTTTTGCTGGAATTTCAGTTGACTCGAAATGTACATACCTTTTTGGTATTTTTTTTTTTTTTAAGAAGAAATTCTTTGGTTTGGAGAGTATGTGTCGATCTCGTTGGAAGATTTTTGCACTCAAGATTCTTGATGTTGCTATTAATTTCGTTAATGGTACCATAAGGTTTTGTTACACCTATCTTAACGATGTTACGTCACGCTGGGATTACCTGTAGAGACGATACGCCTTTTTAATCTCATTTTTTCTCGAGGTAGGAAGAGCTCGTTTCTCTCGTTAACAGTCGTATCACGATTAAAGCTTCTTGAAAGATTCCAGCATTAACTTTCTTCGCCGCTCTGGATACACTGGTCTTAAAAGACGAAATCGAGTACATCACATATGCATTCCTCTGTCGAATTATTATCCCCTTCTTACTTCGTCGCTTTCAACTTTCCGCTTATTTTCAAGCCGTTATCGTGTCGGTGGAGATATCTCGTGCTTCTTGACGAATAAATAAAATTCACATGGCGCATTACAGCGCCGAATTTCCGGTAGAAATCTCCAATTCCTTCTCCGGAAGGTATTCAATTATTAATCAGAAGGAACGTTGTTGCTCTTTAAAATTCTTTTAACATGTTCGTTGTCGATTGAATTCTCATTATAACAAATAACTTTCGTACAGAAAGACACGTTTAATCAATACGTTCTTTAACATCCTCTCCAACAACGTATTCGCAGCATCGTTTCGAATCTTCCCAAACTATCATCGACTTTATCATATATCTTGCAATTTAAGCATAATACGAATCCAATGAAGATGTATAACCTAAATGTCGCTAAAAATTGACATTTCATTAAAATGTTCGAAATTCTTCTCGAAATACACCGCTGCGTCTCTTCCTCGCTATTATCGATTTGCCATAGGAACCGAATTAAAAGAATATAAAATATAGAAGTTTGAACGTTGCTGCCTTTTAAAGATAATCAAACTCTCTCGCGTTCTATTTTCGCGTAGAATATTTATGCCCGTCCGCGCAACGATTAATTCGTCCAATTAGATGAAACATTCGATAGGAAGGGAGTTGGATCGCGTTTACTCGGCGACGTTTAAATCAACAAGTTGGCGCAGGGGGCTGTAAGTTATAGTAATTAACGCGCGGCAATAATGTTCGTCGGCTTCCTCCATTACCCCAGCGTGCTCGAGAGATTTAGGGTCGAGCATCGAGCGTCTAGACGTAGTGAGATAGCATGGCACCCCTCAGAGTCGTTAACTACGCCTTGAGATTTGCTTTTTTGCCTCGACCAGATGAGAGCCGCGTTCCCCTTGTCCGCATCCCTGCAGCGAATCGTACACCCTCGTATACACCAGGCGTGTGTTATGAGACTGGAATAAAAAGTACGTTTTTTCCCTCCAACCTCGGATTCTTTTTGCTTCTCTTTTTCTTACCTAGTTCACTGCCTCCCCTATGGATCTGTCGAATTAACAAGTTTTTCGACAAGCAGCTTTTTTCAAACTACCTGTTCACCTTTACGAACGTCACGAACTACCTGTTTCGTCAACCTGTTGACGCGAACGATTTTTTTAGGAAGCTAAACGTTCCGTTTCTTTCTGTTGGGAAATTATTTTTTAAATAATTCTTTCTTCGTCTCTTTGTTCGCGAAGCATGAAACTATTTCCCTCTCTTTCCTCCGTTGTGAAATTTATTTATTTCCAAAGTGATTTTTGTTGTAGAATTATTAGCTTTTTTTTTCTTTGTTTTATTGTATTGCTTGAAATGACATTTCTAATGGCTAGTGTTTATCGAAACAGCAATAACGTCGTTCGATATTTTCGGAATCTGGAAACTTGTGATATTACAGTGCAATGATATTAACACATAGAGTTTTATATATTTCGCCATGATATAAATATTCATTTCTGCAAAATATTATTTTGTATTTACGTAGTTTCTTCTAACAATACTACCCGAGTTATTTACATTGCCGAAAATTTATCTCATTCTAATCACTGTAAAAAATGACAGGAGTCGCCGATGCCAACTGTAACAGTGAACCTGCCAAAACAGCATTCACAGAGGTTGAAATTGCATTGCATTTAACGCGCTTACTAAACGCTTACTAACATTCTCCCTCGCGCTTCTAAATATAAATATAACAATATAATATTTCCAACAAATGAATATTCAGAAATATTATCATCGCTGACTAAATTATTTCTGCGAATAAACCACCCCCTAGCTGTAACTCTACTATTAGGTTGGCAACTAAATGATTGCGGATTTTGTCAACAACGCTTAATGACAAAATTCGCGATCACTTAGTTGCCAATAATAGCTAGTGTCTAATGGAAAATAGTAAAAATATCGTCTTTGGATATTTGGAAAATCTGACAAGCGAAGAACCGCACGAGCACAACGTTCTCCCTAAGGAACCTGTCCAGGTTGGAACGAGGGTTCCCAAAGGACGTGGCAAATCCCGTAGGGCCCACCACGATGCACCGCTTCGTGGGGTACCGTCTGCTGCCCTCGTCGAGGACAGGTACATCAGGGGTATTTGTTTTCACTTTGCGCTCTGCAGCTACATTCCGAGGCAGGTGAAGCGAGCGTGCTCGTCAAACCTGCAGAGAGAGAGAGAGAGAGAGAGAGAGAGGGAGCACGTACCTGGCGGCAGGAAATGATTTTACTTTCATGAAGACAGCCGTGCTTTTGCTCTTCTCGAGCTATGTTCTTCGCAGTCAGTTTGTTTTTTTTTTTGTTTTGTTTTTTCTCTTGTTTGCGCGACCAGACATCTCTCGGTAAGTTCGTACACGAGAGGAGATTTTGCTTCGAGGCTCGATGAGAAAACAATTACAATCGTAGTCCTGAATAAGTCCTCTTTCATTCTGTGTAATTTCAAGGTGCTTCGTAGTTCGTGTGGTCATCGTCGACCGCACGAAACCAAGTCATTTGTTTTCATTATTTGGTCGTACATGATTTTTCGAACGACTAAGATTCGTATATCGCGGTACAATTTTCATCTGACCGTGTTTTACGATTTGTATAATTTCAAGGTGACTTGTTGGTGTAAATTGTCTGTTTGCATGTTATTTATTATTATTATTATTAGCTCCAGTATCTGGACGTATAAAATTGTTCGTACGACCGAGATTTATATTTATAAATCGAGACGAAATTGTTATCTGAACATGATTTTTCATTTCGTGTAATTTCAAACTGTTTTATTCTTCGTTTAAGCTTCTCATTTGCATGAAACGCAGTTATTCAATTTCAGTATTGCGTCGTACATAATTTTTTGAACGACTCAGAAGAAGCGTACTTTCTAGATATATGTTGATTGTATTTTATTAGTACAACTGTGGCCAAAGTGTATCGTATTCTGTATAATTTCAAGGTGTTTCGCTCTTCGTTTCAATCCGTGATTTGCATAAAGCGAAGTTTTCAGTGTTATCTTCGGCATTTGGTCGTATACAATTCCCTGAACGATAAAGATACGTAAAGGTACATTTCACGTGTGTTATGTTCCTATAAAAGTGTTTTACGATTGATCAAATATAATATATCAAGATATTAATACCAAGATACCCAGATATAATCAATAAGACTAATAGTCTTCTGTCATCCGAATTATCATCGCGTGAATACGTAATCCAATTTAATAAGCATTTCGTTGTGTTTTTAGTAGCAACAGAAAATATTAGCGATGTCTAACAGTCACGTGCAGAGTCTACAAATTTTTATCTCGTACCTGCAAAAACATTTCGACACTAGAAAAATTACTTGGGTCGTTTTGATTCGTCAACGAATTGGAAAAAATTATTATTTTCTGTAAAAAGAAGTATAATTATTTACAATTTTCTGTATTTCCTTTAAAATGATACATCGTTTCCCAGATATCACAAAAACACATTTAAAATAGAAAGATCAGGAGGAAGGAAACTCACTCTGGTTCCTTCCCTCTCAATTTCAAACAGAGTTTTTAATCAGACTACCTCGATAACGTAATACCAGATAATTTAAGACCATCCTAATATATGGAAATATTTTACAAGTAGACTGTATAAGACGCATAAATACCGAACAAACTGTGG